AGGAATTTTTCTTTGAGTCCATTGAGGGCCACAGGGATTCAGAAACAGTCGGGTCACACTGCCCTCTACAGGAGGTGAGGACTCTGGCAAACAGAAAATGCTATGAGCCCGTCCCGTATAATCCCTCCTCTACCCAGCATGCCTCAGTTCTGTGAGAAAGCAACACATGGGACCAGCAAAAATCACAGATGGTTGGGAGGACCTGTGGCCCTCAATGGACTCCCTGAAGAAATAGATTTTACAGTAGATGCATGAATCTTATTTCCTTTCTCATCTATTGAGGGACACAGGAATTCCGAAAAAGTTGGGACGTCCAAAAGTAACCAAAGAAGGGGTAACAAAAGCCAATGACAGGCCTGTAAGAAAGGAACTGGCAACTCAGGGCCCAACACCAACATCTAAACCAGATGAAAAGAAGCCCCTGCAAGACAGAGGAAAGTGCCAGTGACCAAAATGAGGCCACAGAGCATCAACCTGAGGACTGAAGAAGTCACCACCAAGGAGAAGGACTCTACCTGAAGGAACAACAAGCCTGAACCAGATGAGAAGAAGCCCCTGCAAGACAGAGGAAAAGTGCCAGTGACCAAAATGAGGCCACAGAGCATCAACCTGAGGACAGAAGAAGTCACCACCAAGGAGAAGGACTCTACCTGAAGGAACAACGAGCCTGAACCAGATGAGAAGAAGCCCCTGCAAGACAGAGGAAAGTGCCAGTGACCAAAAGGAGGCCACAGAGCATCAACCTGAGGACAGAAGAAGTCACCCCCAGGCAGAAGGACTCTACATGAAGGAACAACGAGCCTGAACCAGATGAGAAGAAGCCCCTGCAAGACAGAGGAAAGTTCCCGTGACCAAAATGAGGGCACAGAGCATCAACCTGAGGACAGAAGAAGTCACCACCAAGGAGAAGGACTCTACATGAAGGAACAACGAGCCTGAACCAGATGAGAAGAAGCCCCTAAAAGACAGAGGAAAGTGCCAGTGACCAAAATGAGGGCACAGAGCATCAACCTGAGGACAGAAGAAGTCACCACCAAGGAGAAGAACTCTGCCTGAAGGAGCAATGAGCCTGAACCAGTGAGAGGCTAATAAACCAAAAATTCACCAAAACGGGTACAAGGAAGAAATAGTCCAACAATGTGATGTCAGGAACATAAAAACCACTAGGACAAATCCCCAAGCAGAACGTGTCCAAAGAGGGAACCTTGGACAAAAAAACAGGTCTAGAAGGGAAGACCAGATGGTCTACAGGCGACAGGCCCAATCCTTACACTCCTAACCCTTCAGATCCTGGGAAGGAAGGTTTAGTGGTAAGAATGAGATTGCCTGGCCAGCCAACCAGATATCCAAACAAGATATTCACAGAAGGTGAGAATCCTCACAATGTAAAGAGTATAGCTAAGAGACTACTAGAGGATTCAAGGGGACCAACCCTGAAGTCAGCATAACTGAAAGGAGGGTAGGGTTCACAAGAGGTACCCACAAAAGGGGAAGGCAGGACGAGCAAGAGGATGAGCAAAACCATCCAAAGGGAACAAAAGAAGTGCAGAATCTGCCTAACCCTGAGCACAGAACATGGTTCTAAAATCTCCAAACATGCTCCGGTCCAGCGACATGGCCAGAATTGTGGGGCAAGGGGCAGGAATCTTAGCTAGACTGCTAAGAAAATTCATCTGATTGAGAACAAAACAGAGGAAGGGATTTGGAGGATCATCCTCAGGAGCAGCCACAGAAAAAAAAAAAACCTATCTCCAGGTAATCTGGTCCCAAAAAAACCTTGTGATGTACTCCATTCCCAGCAAGGGTTACCTGCAACAGGATCCCAGCATGTTTTTCCTTCTGTCAATCTAGGGGTGCGCAGAGATCTCCAGCAGCAAGCCAAGTCTCAACTTAGACAAGGAAAGGGGATTCCACAACCTGAGGAACCCAGGAACATCTAGGACGTTGCACTGCTTTGTGCAATAGCACAAAGAGGACAGTGAGGGGCAACTGAAGGAGGTGCGAAATAAAAGGGGTTAGCCTGTGGGCCAAAAGTGTTGTCTTGAGCACCCAGCTGGTGGAAAGACAAACTACGCAAGGACCCACAGCCAGCCCCCCACTTGTAGAAGTGTAGGTGCACCTTCATCCCGAAGGCTTGGCAGAGGGCTTACCTGACTTCTACACAACCTGAATGGGAGTTGGGCTCCGAAGAACTAAAAGTACTTCTGCAGTGGATGAAGAAGGGTGGGATTTCCCTAACTACTCCTCAACCTCCTGCCCGGAGGTAGAAATACACTCAAGCTGCCCGTGGCATTGCCAGTGATGGTGTCAAGAGTAGTTCTGAAAAGACTATGTCCCTTTGAAGGCTAATTTGGTCAGATAGCTCTTGAATGCAGCATTCATGTCCCAGCTACGTAGCAAGAGTGTTCTGTAGATTTGTACGGACCGTGCAATGTGAGACACACGTTTAGATGCTTTTACCAAGCCATCAAAAATATAGTACAAGGCTCCAATAGCTCTATGAAACAGCGGCCAACTCAACAGTGAAGGGGATCCCTTTCGAGGGAATCCACCCATTCTGACACATTTTGAAAGATTCAAGTTGCTTCCAACACGGGACAGAAGGCCAGACCAGTCAATTTAAGGAGGGGCTTTCTGGTAAGGTGGGTCACTGGTATATCAACAGTGGGAACAGACCACTGATTTACAAATTCCCTCTCAAAGGGAAAAAGTTCTGGCACACTTTCAGGTAGGACCCAGGACCCTTCAGGATGGATTACAGTCCGTATAGAGGAAATGTTCAGACATCCGGGGTAGTGGAAAGATCTCGTAGAAGCTCTAAAAGAGCTAAGGCCTGGAGAAAGCAGGCTAAACCTCCAGATGCAGGATAAGATGCAATGCATCAATAAGGTCTTAAACGGCACTCGGTAAATCTGAGTCAACTGTGGTGCCAGAAAACATGGAGGTCCCTGTGGACATGGGACAAGCCTTGGCCTCACCCAACAAAGGCTCTAGTAATAAAGACTCAAACAATAAGGGTCTCAGGTTCTAGATTGCAGGTGTTGGTCCCTTTTGGGGATACCAAGTAAATGTCCTTAGAACCACCAGAGGACTAAGGGCTGAGGTCATGGCAACAAGAGTGTGTCTTAGCAAAGACAAGCCTGGGGCGGTGTCACAACTCTGGACCTGGAGAAAGCTCCAAGGATACCACAGTACACTCAGGTCTGAAAAGTACAACAATGTAGAGTCCAGGACCCGAAGGTCACATTCCATGCTAGACCTGCACATCCAGTTCAGCAGGGTCCTGGTATGACCTCCAATAATCCCAGGTAATCCCAATCTGGACAGCTACTATGGAGGAAAAAGCTCAAACTGTGACCTAGCAAAGGAATATGACTTAAGTCACTGAAGAAACATTTCCACAAAGCAAAGCTAGAAAAAGTCATTAGACTCACATTAGAAAAAAACTGAGGCATGCTGGGTATAGGAGGGGTTATAAAGGGCCAGGTTTCTGTTTGTGAGTGTCCCAACCTCCTGTGGGCGGTAGTAAAAACCCAACTCTTTCTGAATTTCTGTGTCCCTTAATAAATATGAGAGGGGGAAAAAACAGCCCTATACTGTAGCTAGGGATGATGGGATCATGGACCTGATGGCACATGTCACACAGTGGTGTGATGGACTCATGGAAAAGACAGAGAGAGAAGATGTGTCGATGATATGATGGTATTGTAGATGGAGTGTGAGATGTCTGTGGGTTGAATACATGATGGAGATTTACATAGAATGGAGTACAAGATGGAGCAGCAGATTGGATAGTAGATGTGATGGACTTGATGAGGTCATGGACACGTAGAATCCTTTAACACTTTGGAACAGTAGACCAATAAAGTTCTACAAGCTATGGTTGAGGTGATGAGTTCATGCTTATGGTCACAATATATCATGGTATGAGACTAATACAAACATATATGTCATGGTATCCAATAAGATAGAGACACAGATGTCATGAAGATCATGGAGATTGTGGGAACAAGAGATTGGAGATGGAGTGTAAAGGGGACATGGAATGGGAAATAATTCAGTAGGTAGGGACATGATCGATTTTTGAGTGTAAAGGACTTGGAATTGGGGACGGATGGAGTGTGAGGAAACATGGAGTTGGAGACGATGGAGGGGAATTGGAAATAATGGGGTGTGAGGGTGCATGGACTTGGAGACAATGGAGTGTGAGGGGACATTGAATTGGAGATGATGGAGGGGAATTGGAGATGATGGAGCATGAAGGAACACGGACTTGGAGACGATGGTGGGCGAGGAGCATGGAATTGGAGATAATGGGGTGTGAGGGTGCATGGACTTGGACAATGACAATGGAGTGGGGAGGGGCCATTGGAACGATAGAATGGAGATAATGGGGAATTGTGAGGAGGGGCCTGGAATTGGAGACGATTGGAGAATGTGTGGGGGACATGGTATTGGAGATTATGGAAACATGGAATTGGAGACGATGGTGCACGAGGGGCCATGGAATTGGAGATAATGGGGTGTGAGGGGGGGCCTGGAATTGGAGACGATGGAGCATGTGGGGACATGGTATTGGAGATTATGGAAACATGGAACTGGAGATGATGAAGCGTGAGGGGACATGGAATTACTGATAACTGCAGTTCCATCCCACACTTCATTATGTAGGTCAAGGTGGACTGGAAGAATGTGATGGTAGTAGATGTCAATGTCGCCTCCATAACTCTATCATGATAACAAGGACACATGGATAAATGGAGTGATGAGATATGATGGAACTGTAGACTAGATGGACTTCTAGATTTGATGGGATAGGAAGGGTGATGAATTCCTAGACATGGTGTCAGACGTAACACTCCCAGGGTCCGTCCTATAGATGAAGTCAAAGGATTTCGCACTATGATGGAGGTACAAAAGTAATGGTGGTAAAAGGTGCTCCAGATCTAGAGAAACAGTGAGGGGTTGGAGGTATTTTTTAGTCTCTCGCATTGTCTTTATCAATTCCTCTTGAAGATCGAGAAGATTCCACTGCCACTGTCCCGGGATCGTCTGGTGCTCCCTTTTCTAGTCGGTGTGCTGGGAGCGGATTCTGAGGCTTTCTCCTGATCTCTTTGTGACTTCAGCTGTTGGCTGATAACAATCTGCATGTCATCCTGTGAATAGACCAGACACAAATATGAACAAACTGGCAGCATTCTCCTCCCAGGGTGGCCATTTCCCAAGACCCAGCCCACCACTCCTCACCTGCCATGCCTCCAGCTCTTGGCTCAGCAGCACTTTTTGCTCCACAGCACTGAGAAGCTGCCGACTCATGGAATCCTTCTCCAATCGACACTTTGCCAACTCCAGCTCTAACTCGCCTTTTCTAAGGAGACCAAAAAAATGTTAAAAAATCACCTATACCAGAAGAGCCTGAATGAGCAAATGACTCGTGGGGGCACATGAAAGCTGTTAGGACCTGCAGGGAGTGTCTGTGCACCATGGATGATATGGAGAAATGGTGGGAAACTTTGAATGTGTTTGTATGGCCAAATTTCTACCCACTTGTCACAAACAACACTGCACTTCAGCCAGGTTGTATTGCCTTCCTTCAATCTTGGGGGGAAAAAAGTTGGAAGGAAAACATGAAATACAGTCCACGTTTTATAGTCGTAACATTGTGGGCCCCCAACCATCACACCTTTATGAGCTTGTTCGATATCCCTTTCCAAAATCATGGCCATTAACATGGAGTTGCCACAAGATTTTAGAGGGTGTCTGTGGGAATTCGTGCCCATTTGTGAGATAAGGTACTGTTTTTGGATTAAAAGACCTGGCTCACAATCAGCCTTCCAATTCATCCCAAAGGTGTTCGGTAGGGTTGAGGTCGGGGTCAATCAGGTTCCTCCACACCAAACACATCAAACCATGTCTTCATGGAGATGTTGGTGGAGTAGACCTGGTTCATTCCAATTCATCCCAAAGGTGTTCGGTAGGGTTGAGGTCAGGACTCTACAGGACACTCGAGTTGCTCCGTACCAAACTGGTCATCCATGTCTTTATCAAGATGGTGTGTACACAGGGGACAGTCATGGGGGAACAGAAAAGGGTCTTCACCAAACTGTTACCACAAGGTTGGAAGAGCTCAGTTGCAATGTCTTTGTATGATGCAGTATTAACAGGACCCTTCACTAGACACACCAGAACTCAATCAGTTAGAGGGATGGACCATTATGTCAGCCTATATAGTGTATGAGGGGACTATAAAGTGCATCACACATCATCCTAGGGACAATCATTCCTCTCAATTATCCACATCTGTGATACATTTGTAGGCCTACAGAGCAGCAAACATCACAGACCAACCCACCACAGTTATCAATATATCAAATGAAAATGGCTAGATGTCTTACTTCATGATGGCCTCATCACGGTCAGAGATGGCTTGTTTCAGGACACTGTCAACATCATTCTGCTGGGACATATCACGCAGCTTCTGAAGTTCCTCTCGTAGAGAGCTCATCTCCACGTATTGGATGGTGACCTGGCGGGAGAGCAGAATAGAGGACTGTCACATACAGCAGTCATATACATAGAAAATCCATACAATGCACAACCGATAGACTGCATACAACTATGAGGGGCCTCTTTATAAATGTCACACAGCTTCTATTAACGGGAACGAGGATTCTGACACCTTGTGTTTCCATTGGGCAAGAAGAACCCAATTAACCCATTTTACAGATAAGTCCACCAATTTATAACAATATCACTCTATACCTGGCATAATTCATTCATGTCTCTGGAGGGGAGCTGGACAAGGAACCTCAGGAGGAACTACATCATTCTACACCAGGGGTGGGCAACTAATTTTCCCAAGGGGGCCATAAGAGAAACAAGCTGTTGTTGAGGGCCAAAATTAATTCTGCTCAATACTAGTTTTGGAAATGGGAAGGTGCATAAGTACGTAAACCTGTAGAAAACATACACCTGGTGCTAGGAATAATAGCTACAACTGCTCATGAAACAGGTCTCTTTCGGAGGGGGGATGTTAAAAATGGGCAGCTGAAACGGATGGAGCATGTTCCATGGCAGCGGCATTTTTACATTGGGCTGCAGAGTTTGACAAGCAGCACCACTTTTCAAACTTGCCTATTGAGTTCAATAGGGCCACACTTCAGTCATTGGGGCCACACCTCAGTCACCTGCAATACACGAGGAGGAGGATCAGCTCAGAGAGACATGCTGATAGTGGAGGCATTGAGGGTTGGAATTTGCCCAGGTCTGATCTTCACCTGGCTTATTCCATTTGTGTCTCAGGAGGGGAGATGTCATGTTCAAAGGAGGGGAGCTGGACATGGAACCTGAGGGGCAATTATATCTCCCCACACTTGGCATAATCCATTCATGTCTTGGGAGGGAAGCCAGACAAGGAACTTCACAGGGGAGCATTGTCACTCTACATGTGGTATAATCCATTCATGTCTCAGAAGGGAAGCTGTAAAAGGAACTTCAGGAGAACATCATCTAGACAAGGAACCTCACATGGGAACATCATCACTCTACATGTGGTATAATCCATTCATGTCTCGGGAAGGATGCTAGACAAGGAACCTCACACAGGAACATCATCACTCTACATGTGGTATAACCCATTCATGTCTCAGGAAGGATGCTAGACAAGGAACCTCACAGGGGAACATCATCACTCTACATGTGGTATAATCCATTCATGTCTCAGGAAGGATGCTAGACAAGGAACCTCACACGGGAACATCATCACTCTACATGTGGTATAATCCATTCATGTCTCAGGAAGGATGCTAGACAAGGAACCTCACACAGGAACATCATCACTCTACATGTGGTATAATCCATTCATGTCTCAGGAAGGATGCTAGACAAGGAACCTCACACAGGAACATCATCACTCTACATGTGGTATAATCCATTCATGTCTCGGGAAGGATGCTAGACAAGGAACCTCACACAGGAACGTCATCACTCTACATGTGGTATAATCCATTCATGTCTCGGGAAGGATGCTAGACAAGGAACCTCACAGGGGAACATCATCACTCTACATGTGGTATAATCCATTCATGTCTCAGGAAGGATGCTAGACAAGGAACCTCACACGGGAACATCATCACTCTACATGTGGTATAATCCATTCATGTCTCAGGAAGGATGCTAGACAAGGAACCTCACACAGGAACATCATCACTCTACATGTGGTATAATCCATTCATGTCTCAGGAAGGATGCTAGACAAGGAACCTCACACAGGAACATCATCACTCTACATGTGGTATAATCCATTCATGTCTCGGGAAGGATGCTAGACAAGGAACCTCACACAGGAACGTCATCACTCTACATGTGGTATAATCCATTCATGTCTCAGGAAGGATGCTAGACAAGGAACCTCACACAGGAACATCATCACTCTACATGTGGTATAACCCATTCATGTCTCAGGAAGGATGCTAGACAAGGAACCTCACACAGGAACATCATCACTCTACATGTGGTATAATCCATTCATGTCTCAGGAAGGATGCTAGACAAGGAACCTCACACAGGAACATCATCACTCTACATGTGGTATAATCCATTCATGTCTCGGGAAGGATGCTAGACAAGGAACCTCACACAGGAACATCATCACTCTACATGTGGTATAATCCATTCATGTCTCAGGAAGGATGCTAGACAAGGAACCTCACACAGGAACATCATCACTCTACATGTGGTATATCCCATTCATGTCTCGGGAAGGATGCTAGACAAGGAACCTCACACAGGAACATCATCACTCTACATGTGGTATATCCCATTCATGTCTCGGGAAGGATGCTAGACAAAGAACCTCACACAGGAACGTCATCACTCTACATGTGCTATAATCCATTCATGTCTCAGGAAGGATGCTAGACAAGGCACCTCACACGGGAACATCATCACTCTACATGTGGTATAATCCATTCATGTCTCGGGAAGGATGCTAGACAAGGAACCTCACACAGGAACATCATCACTCTACATGTGGTATAATCCATTCATGTCTCGGGAAAGATGCTAGACAAGGAACTTCAGGAGAACATCATCACTCTACATGTGGTATAATCCATTCATGTCTCAGGAAGGATGCTAGACAAGGAACCTCACATGGGAACATCATCACTCTACATGTGGTATAATCCATTCATGTCTCGAGAAGGATGCTAGACAAGGAACCTCACACGGGAACATCATCACTCTACATGTGGTATAACCCATTCATGTCTCAGGAAGGATGCTAGACAAGGAACCTCACACGGAACATCATCACTCTACATGTGGTATAATCCATTCATGTCTCAGGAAGGATGCTAGACAAGGAACCTCACACAGGAACATAAAGACTCTACACCTGCCATAGTCCATTCATGTCTCAGGAGGACATGGAACTTCAGGGGAACGTCGTCGCTCTACACTTGGCATAACCTATTCATGTCTCAGGAGGGGAGCCAGGCAAGGAACCTCAGGGAAATGTTGTCACTCTACACCTGGCACAGTCCATTCATGTATTGAGAGGGGGAGCTGGACAAGGAAGCTCCACACCTGGCATAATCCTCATAGGGAAAACATCTTCACTCTACCCCTGGCATAATCTATTCAGGTCCCAGAAGGGGGCTGGACAAGGAACCTCACAGGAGGAGCCATTGGTTTTTCTAGCCATCGGTCGACTTTTCACTTTTTTTTTCTCATTTTGCTTTCACGGCTCTTGTGAACTGAATGTAAATAGGACTCTTAGGATCACAGGCTCCAATAGAGAGAACCTGTCTCCTGCTCACAAAGGGTGGAGCATTTCATTTTGATGCAGCATGTGGGGCACTGGAGAGCCAAGAAGGATGATGGTTCTCTCTTCTGGGGTTTGGGTCAGACATAGTGAAATGTTTCTTGCTGATCATGTGATCTCTTGTGTCTATGCTATAGGCTGCTCACTGCACAACCTGTTCACGTCTGCTCACCTGATCCTGTAGTCTGATCACTTCCTCTTCCTTCTCTCGAAGGAGGTCTCTCTCCTGTTGCGTCAGATATGCCGCCATATGAACTGCAAGGTCAGGAACTCGACCTGGCTGGGGGACCAACATTGGCAGATGGATTGATGGGGCCATCCTATGGCGAGAGAAAACCACATGTGTGACCTACCATACAATGCTCCTGATAATAAACTGCACAGATCCTGATAATATGAACATGGGGACATACAGCATATACAACCCAAGTGCCGGCTGTAGGATCCCACCATGTATATACAACCCAAGTGCCGGCTGTAGGATCCCACCATGTATATACAACCCAAGTGCCGGCTGTAGGATCCCACCATGTATATACAACCCAAGTGCCGGCTGTACGATCCCACCATGTATATACAACCCAAGTGCCGGCTGTAGGATCCCACCATGTATATACAACCCAAGTGCCGGCTGTAGGATCCCACCATGTATATACAACCCAAGTGCCGGCTGTAGGATCCCACCATGTATATACAACCCAAGTGCCGGCTGTAGGATCCCACCATGTATATACAACCCAAGTGCCGGCTGTAGGATCCCACCATGTATATACAACCCAAGTGCTGTCTGTAGGATCCCACCATGTATATATAACCCAAGTGCACCAAGCTGAGCTGTAGGATCCCACCATGTATATACAACCCAAGTGCTGACTGTAGGATCCCACCATGTATATATACAACTCAAGTGCTGTCTGTAGGATCCCACCATGTATATACAACCCAAGTGCCGGCTGTAGGATCCCACCATGTATATACAACCCAAGTGCCGGCTGTAGGATCCCACCATGTATATACAACCCAAGTGCCGGCTGTAGGATCCCACCATGTATATACAACCCAAGTGCCGGCTGTAGGATCCCACCATGTATATACAACCCAAGTGCCGGCTGTAGGATCCCACCATGTATATACAACCCAAGTGCCGGCTGTAGGATCCCACCATGTATATACAACCCAAGTGCCGGCTGTAGGATCCCACCATGTATATACAACCCAAGTGCTGGCTGTAGGATCCCACCATATATATATACAACCCAAGTGCTGGCTGTAGGATCCCACCATGTATAGACAACCCAAGTGCTCACCCTAGGTTCCCACCATGTATATACAACCCAAGTGCTGGCTGTAGAATCCCACCATGTATAGACAACCCAAGTGCTCACCCTAGGATCTCACCATGTATATACAACCCAAGTGCCGGCTGTAGGATCCCACCATGTATATACAACCCAAGTGCCGGCTGTAAGATCCCACCATGTATATACAACCCAAGTGCCGGCTGTAGGATCCCACCATGTATATACAACCCAAGTGCCGGCTGTAGGATCCCACCATGTATATACAACACAAGTGCTGGCTGTAGGATCCCACCATGTATAGACAACCCAAGTGCTCACCCTAGGATCCCACCATGTATATACAACCCAAGTGCCGGCTGTAGGATCCTACCATGTATATACAATCCAAGTGCCGGCTGTAGGATCCCATCATATATATATACAACCCAAGTGCCGGCTGCAGGATCCCACCATATATATATACAACCCAAGTGCCGGCTGTAGGATCCCACCATGTATATACAACTCAAGTGCTGGCTGTAGGATCCCACCATGTATATACAACCCAAGTGCTCACCCTAGGATCCCCTCATGTATATGCAACCCAAACGCTGGCTGTAGGATCGCACTATGTACAGACAACTTAAGTACCGGCTGTAAGATCCTACCATGTATGGACAATCCAAGTGCTCACCCTAGGATCCCACCATGTATATACAACCCAAGTGCCAGCTGTAAAATCCCACCATGTATATACAACCCAAGTGCTCACCCTAGGATCCCACCATGTATATACAACCCAAGTGCCGGCTGTAGGATCGCACTATGTATATACAACCCAAGTGCCGGCTGTAGGATCCCACCATGTATATACAACCCAAGTTCTGGCTGTAGGATCCCACCATGTATATAGAACCCAAGTGCTGGCTGTAGGATCCCACCATGTATATACAACCCAAGTGTCAGCTGTAGGGTACCACCATGTATATACAACCCAAGTGCTGGCTGTAGGATCCCACCATGTATATACAACCCAAGTTCTGGCTGTAGGATCCCACCATGTATATACAACCCAAGTGCTGGCTGTAGGATCCCACCATGTATATACAACCCAAGTGTCAGCTGTAGGGTACCACCATGTATATACAACCCAAGTGCCGGCTGTAGGATCCCACCATGTATATACAACCCAAGTGCTGGCTGTAGGATCCCACCATGTATATACAACCCAAGTGCTGGCTGTAGGATCCCACCATGTATATACAACCCAAGTGTCAGCTGTAGGTATCCACACCAGGTATATACAACCCAAGTGTCAGCTGTAGGGTACCACCATGTATATAGAACCCAAGTGCTGGCTGTAGGATCCCACCATGTATATACAACCCAAGTGTCAGCTGTAGGGTACCACCAGGTATATACAACCCAAGTGCTCACCCTAGGATCCCACCATGTACATACAACCCAAGTGCCGGCTGTAGGATCCCACCATGTATATACAACCCAAGTGTCAGCTGTAGGGTACCACCAGGTATATACAACCCAAGTGTCAGCTGTAGGGTACCACCAGGTATATACAACCCAAGTGTCAGCTGTAGGGTACCACCATGTATATAGAACCCAAGTGCTGGCTGTAGGATCCCACCATGTATATACAACCCAAGTGTCAGCTGTAGGGTACCACCATGTATATACAACCCAAGTGCTCACCCTAGGATCCCACCATGTACATACAACCCAAGTGCCGGCTGTAGGATCCCACCATGTATATACAACCCAAGTGTCAGCTGTAGGGTACCACCAGGTATATACAACCCAAGTGTCAGCTGTAGGGTACCACCAGGTATATACAACCCAAGTGCTCACCCTAGGATCCCACCATGTACATACAACCCAAGTGCCGGCTGTAGGGTCTCACCATGTACAGTATAATCTATCATTCAATGCTCCTGATAACAATACTTGTGACATCATGACATGAGCATACTGGCAATATGCCACATAATGGGGGAGGGGACAGGATATACACCCCGTGTGGAATGTGATCTAAACATCCTGAAATCCCCTCTATGTCTTTAGCAGGCGATACGACACGACACGGGTGGGAGCTGCAGATTGCTGTCTTAGCAGAGTCCCTTCTTCCAGTGATTGTCCTGGAGGGGAATTCTGGGACTTGTGAAATCTGAGCAAACACTGGAAGGTGATCATTCTTCTTCTTTAACCGTTTCCCTCCAGCATCCACTCCGCCCTCACCTGGCAGTCCTCCATCTCGGAGTGGAGGGAGTATTGGCTGTCATGCAGAGCCTGGCTGTCCCTCATCTTCAGCTCGTCCTGCAGCTCTTGGACTTGGCTCTGCAGGGAGCGCTGGCTGTCCCTCAGGTTCTGGGCCTCCACCTGGACCTCCTGCAACTGAAACACAACGTACCAATCAGAAACAAGCCGTGATGTGCACTGATTGGGTGACATGGGAAATGCAGACATTTCTGTATATAAGGCCAGGGTGTACAATAATATGTGGAGGGTCTGGAGCTGCTCTTCCGTCTAGCAACCAATCGGAAAGTTTAATGATCTGAGAACACCAGAAATGCATTCCTCCAGCTCCCCCTCCCCACCTTCAGGGTAATAGACAGTGAAAGGTCCTCACCCGGGCCTCCCCCTCGCTCTTCTGCCTCTCCATCCTCAGTGCAGTCTCCTTCAGGGTGAAGAGGAGGTTCTGTGTGTTCTCATGCTCCTCTCTCAGCCGCTTCATCCGGCTCTCCAGGTCTTTCTTCTGCTCCAGGAGGAGGGCGTTCTGTTGGGGAGAGTGAGATGGGTCATGGCATGTTCTGATTGACCTTCTACCTTTTGACCCTTCTTCTTCTACCTGACTGACCTTTTACCTCCACCTGACCACCACCTGACTGACCAACCTTCTCCTTCTACCTGACTGACCTTCTACCTCCACCTGACTAACCTTCTCCTTCTACCTGACTGACCTTCTACCTCCACCTGACTGACCTTCTCCTCCTTCTACCTGACTGACCTTCTACCTCCACCTGACTGACCTTCTCCTTCTACCTGACTGACCTTCTACCTCCACCTGACTGACCTTCTCCTTCTACCTGACTGACCTTCTACCTCCACCTGACTGACCTTCTCTTTCTACCTGACTGACCTTCTATCTATCTCCCTGACTGACCTTCTCCTTCTACCTGACTGACCTTCTACCTCCACCTGACTGACCTTCTCTTTCTACCTACTGACCTTCTACTCCACCTGACTGACCTTCTCTATCACCTCCATCACCTCACTAGATTGACCTTCCATCTCTACCTTACTGTCCTTTCATCTTTACCTGACTGACCTTCCCCCTCCACTAGATTGACCTTTCACCTCCACCTTACTGACCTTTCATCTCCACTGACTGACCTTCCACCTCCACTAGATTGACCTTTCATCTCCACTAGATTGACCTTTCACCTCCACCTTACTGACCTTTCATTTCCACGGACTGACCTTCTACCCTCCACATGACTGACCTTTCATCTTCATTCACTGACCTTCCACCACCATCCTACTGACTTTTCATCTCCCCTGACTGATCTTCTATCCCCACCTGACCAACCTTCCATCTACACATGACCATCCTTTCACCCCCTCATCTGACAGACCTTCCATCTACACCTTTGATCTACCCTTGACCACCTATCTACAACTGACCATTCTTTAACCTCCCTCACATGATAGACATCTATTTCCACCTGACCACCCTTCCATCACTACCTGACTGACCTTTTGATCTACACCTTACCAACCTTCCACTTACACTTGACCAAATTTCCATCTCTACCTGTCCAACCTTCCAAACACCTCACCTGACCAACCATCCATCACCACCTGACTAACCTTTCAGCTCTACCTGCTTGATATTCTATTTCCAACTTAGGCTTGGTTCACACCTATGCAGTTTGCGTTCGAGACGTTTCTGCATTGCGTTTTCCGTTGCGTTTTTGCATCAAAAACGTAATCCATGCTTTTCTGCAGCGTTTCCATTGAAGTCTATAGAACCAAAACCACAACTTTTTCTGCTAAAATAAAAAGTCCCTGACCCTTTCCAAAAAACGCAGCGGGTGAAAACGCGGAGATGTGAACATGTCCCATATGAAATCATGTTACATGGACTGTACTGCGTTTCTACAAAACACAAAACTGTGCAGAACACGCTTAGGTGTGAACCCGGGGTAACCGAAGTTCCATCCCCAGCTGACTAACATTCCAGCTTCACATGAGGAATCTTCCACCTAAACTTAACCAACCTATCTCCACTTGGTTAACCTTTCATTTCTGCCTGGCCAATCTTCTATCTCCATCCAACCTTCCATCTCCACCTGACCAACCTTCCAACCCAACCGCAACTCATTTGCCCTATCATCTCCCCCCAAAACCTCTTCTAACTGACCTTCTATCTCACTACCATAACCTTTTATCTCTCTGACGTTCTATTCCTGAACACTTTCAGAGGTCCTCCATGATCTGAAAGTGTGAGGAGCTCTTCTGATCCCCCCTTTCCTTGACCTCCCCTCTGCGACTCCTGGCTTCTTGATTGCCCATGTGACTTCTGACTTTCCCTCTGTGACTCCTGACCTCATGATTGCCCCTGTGTGACTCCTGACCTCATGATTGCCCCTGTGTGACTCCTGACCTCATGATTGCCCCTGTGTGACTCCTGACCTCATGATTGCCCCTGTGTGACTCCTGACCTCATGATTGCCCCTGTGTGACTCCTGACCTCATGACCTGCCCCTGTGTGACTCCTGACCTCATGATTGCTCCTCTCTGTGACCCCCTCATGATTGTGTGTGACTCCTGACCTCATGATTGCCCCTGTGTGACTCCTGACGTCATGATTGCCCCTGTGTGACTCCTGACCTCATGATTGCCCCTGTGTGACTCCTGACCTCATGATTGCCCCTTGTGATTCCTGACCTCATGATTGCCCCTGTGTGACTCCTGACGTCATGATTGCCCCTGTGTGACTCCTGACCTCATGATTGCCCCTGTGTGACTCCTGACCTCATGATTGCCCCCGTGTGACCTCTGACCTCACTCTGTAGGCTCTGCAGACATGGGGCGAGGTGTCCTTGGCTCAGGTTGAGCTCCCGGTTCTCTTCTCTAAGATTTTGTAGCTGCAGGGTGAGAGACTGTTCCACCTGGGAGGCCTGTGGAGACACAACGGTTCATCAGTGCAGGCCACGGGTACAGGAAGAGAGCATGTAGTGTATTACTATGGATGGTGCAGTTGTGTTTCCAGGAATATCATTCGGTATGACACACACACACACAGTGATTGCCGGCACAGGACGGTGCCCCCACAATGATCTGCGTCTTCCAGCCCCCCACCCCCGCTGTACTCTACCATCGGGGACATTCAGGGACATCAGATAAAAGAAGTGTGAACGCCATATTGGAGAATATATTGTTCCCACACAGGACAATTTCAGCTCCGTCCCCCCCACCTGCTGGAATCCCCCCATATCACGCAATCCTATTAGGAGATAATCGTCTTATCCGGGGACAGCTGCTCGCTGCCGTCTAATCGCATCACTACACCCTAACCCCTCCCACTGTGCGACAAACCCCTCCGTCTCCGGGGTCACGTCATCAGGAGACTGTGCTTTGTATTCATCAATGACCCCCCCCCCCAGGGATAGATAGAGGGGACCGTACCACCAATCCCCCCACCAGGGGCAGATAAAGGGGAGGGGTCACGTCATCAGGATAGATGAGGGCTTCAGTGTATTCCACCATCAATGACCCCCCCCCACCATCAGTGACCCCACCAGGGATAGATAGAGGGGACCGTAGAGGAGACCGTACCCCAGTGACCCCCCCAGGGAGAGGTGACCGTTACCACATCAGTGACCCCACCAGTCCGTACCCCATCACCAGGGGGAGGAGACCGTACCACCATCAGTGACCCCACCAGGGGATAGAGGAGACCGTACCACCATCAGTGACCCCCCCCACCAGGGACCCCACCAGATAGATAGGGAGACCGTACCACCATCAGTGACCCCCCACCAGGGATAGATAGAGGGGACCGTACCACCATCAGTGAGCCCCACCAGGGATAGATAGAGGAGACCATACCACCATCAGTCACCCCACCAGGGATAGATAGAGGGGACCGTACCACCATCAGTGACCCCACCAGGGATAGATAGAGGAGACCGTACCACCATCAGTGACCCCACCAGGGATAGATAGAGGAGACCGTACCACCATCATGACCCCACCAGGGATGAGGAGACCCCACCATCAGTGACCCCCCCAGGGATAGATAGAGGGACCGTACCACCATCAGTGACCCCACCAGGACCCCACCAGGGATAGATAGAGGGACCGTACCACCATCAGACCCCCCCCAGGGATAGATAGAGGAGACCCCACCAGGGGTGATAGATAGAGGAGACCGTACCACCATCAGTGACCCCACCAGGGATAGATAGAGGAGACCATACCACCATCAGTGACCCCACCAGGGATAGATAGAGGAGACCGTACCACCATCAATGACCCCCCCCAGGGTTAGATAGAGGAGACCCCACCCAGGACCCCACCAGTTAGATAGAGGAGACCGTACCACCATCAGTGACCCCACCAGGGATAGATAGAGGAGACCGTACCACCATCAGTGACCCCACCAGGTATAGATAGAGGAGACCGTACCACCATCAGTGACCCCCCAGGGATAGATAGAGGAGACCGTACCACCATCAGACCCCCCCCAGGGTGATAGAGGAGACCGTACCCCATCAGGACCCCACCAGGGATAGATAGAGGAGACCGTACCACCATCAGTGACCCCACCAGGGATAGATAGAGGAGACCGTACCACCATCAGTGAGCCCACCCCCCAGGATAGATAGAGGAGACCGTACCACCATGACAGTGATAGAGCCCCACCAGGAATAGATAGAGGAGGAGACCGTACCACCATCAGTGAGCCCACCAGGGATAGATAGAGGAGACCGTACCACCATCAGTGACCCCACCAGGGATAGATAGAGGAGACCATACCACCATCAGTGACCCCACCAGGGATAGATAGAGGAGAGTGAGACCGTACCACCATCAGTGACCCCACCAGGATAGATAGACCACCATCAGTGAGCCCGTTTTTCACCATCAGGACCCACCAGGAATAGATAGAGGAGACCGTACCAGGGGAAGATAGATAGAGGAGACCATGCACCACCATCAGTGACCCCCCAGGGATAGATAGAGGAGACCGTACCACCATCAGTGACCCCACCAGGGATAGATAGAGGAGACCGTACCACCATCAGTGAGCCCCCCAGGAATAGATAGAGGAGACCGTACCACCATCAGTGACCCCACCAGGGATAGAGGGGACCGTACCACCATCAGTGAGACCCACCAGTAGAGAGAGGGGACCGTACCACCATCAGTGAGCCCCACCAGGAATAGAGAGAGGAGACCGGTGACCCCACCAGGGATAGAGAGGAGACCGTACCACCATCAGAGCCCCCACCAGGGATGATAGCCCCACCATCAAGCCCACCAGGAATAGAGAGAGGGGACCGTACCACCATCAGTGAGCCCCCACCAGGGGCAGATAAAGGGGACCGTACCACCATCAGTCACCCCCCAGCAGGGGTAGATAAAGGGGACCATACCACCATTAGTGACCCCACCAGGAATAGAGAGAGGGGACCGTACCACCATCAGTGAGCCCCCACCAGGGGTAGATAAAGGGGACCGTACCACCATCAGTCACCCCCACCAGGGGCGGATAAAGGGGACCGTACCACCATTAGTGAGCCCCCCAGGAATAGAGAGAGGGGACGCACCACCATCAGTGAGCCCCCCCCAGGGGATAGATAGAGAAGACTGCAACACCATCAGTGACCCCCCAGGGATAGATAGAGAGGGGACCGTACCACCATCAGTGAGTCCCCCACCAGGGGCGGATAAAGGGGACCGACCACCATCAGTGAGTCCCCACCAGGGGCGGATAAAGGGGACCGTACCACCATCAGTGAGTCCCCCCAGGGGCGTATAAAGGGGACCGTACCACCATCAGTGAGTCCCCACCAGGGGCGGATAAAGGGGACCGTACCACCATCAGTGAGTCCCCACCAGGGGCGGATAAAGGGGACCGTACCACCATCAGTGAGTCCCCACCAGGGGCGGATAAAGGGGACCGTACCACCATCAGTCACCCCCACCAGGGGCGGATGAAGAGCACTGTGATATCAGTTTCCCTACCAGGGGCAATTGGTGGAGATTGTACCACCATCAGGGACCATCATCAGGCTCTGCCAGGGACAGGTAGACAGAACTGAACCATTAGTGACTGACATGGGGGGGGAGGGTGGAGAGATGGATGGAGATGGACAGAGGGGGTGGAGAGATGGACAGAGGGGGTGGAGAGATGGACAGAGGGGGTGGAGAGATGGACAGAGGGGGTGGAGAGATGGGGGGGGTGGAGAGATGGACAGAGGGGGTGGAGAGATGGACAGAGGGGGTGGAGAGATGGAGAGATGGACAGAGGGGGTGGAGAGATGGACAGAGGGGGTGGAGAGATGGACAGAGGGGGTGGAGAGATGGACAGAGGGGGTGGAGAGATGGACAGAGGGGGGAGAGATGGAGAGAGAGATGGACAGAGGGGGTGGAGAGATGGACAGAGGGGGTGGAGAGATGGACAGAGGGGGTGGAGAGATGGACAGACAGAGGGGGTGGAGAGATGGACAAAGGGGGGGGGTGGAGAGATGGAGGGGGTGGAGAGATGGACAAAGGGGGTGGAGAGGGGAGGGGGACAGAGGGGTGGAGAGATGGAGAGGGGGTGGAGAGATGGACAGAGGGGGACAGAGGGGGTGGAGATGGACAGAGGGGGGACAGAGGGGGGTGGAGAGATGGACAGAGGGGGTGGAGAGATAGACAGACAGAGGGGGTGGAGAGATAGACAGGGGGTGGAGAGATGGACAGAGGGGGACTCAGAGGGGGTGGAGAGATGGACAGAGGGGGTGGAGAGATGGACGCCCTCGTTGACCGCCTCTCCATCCTATGTGTGTGCCCGGCCCCTGCGGACAGCCTCAGTGGGTGGCAGTAGAACCCATGTTCACCCTCCCCACATCTGTTGTACAGAACTACAATCCCCTCCCCCATGTAACGCCAGACCATCCCCCTCTCACCTGCGCTAGTTGCTCCAGCAGTCGCTGGTTCTGTTCGGACATCTCATGTACGGCGGTGGCGCTCTCCCGTCCGCACTCTCTGTGCTCCGACATCAGCTGTCTGACCTGAACCCGAGCCTCCGACAGATCGCTCTCCAGATCCGTGATCTGCGCCTTCCATTCGCTCTCCCGCGCCTCCATCTTCAGACGCAGAGCGTGCTTCTCCTGCTCCAACCTCTGCCACACAACAACCAGCCATGCCATGACACCATCACTGTGCCCACTGTGGGGGGGTCCCACCATCCCTGTGCCCACTATGGGGGGCCCCACCATCCCTGTGCCCACTATGGGGGGTCCCACAACAACCAGCCATGACCCTGTGCCCACTATGTGGGGGTCCCACCATCCCTGTGCCCACTGTGGGGGTCCCACCACCCCTGTGCCCACTATGGGGGGTCCCACCATCCCTGTGCTTCTCCTGCTCCAACCTCTGCCACACAACAACCAGCCATGACACCATCACTGTGCCTATTATGAGGGGTTCCCACCATCCCTGTGCCCACTATGGGGGGTCCCACCATCCCTGTGCCCACTATGGGGGGGTCCCACCATCCCAGACACAGAGGTGGGTGGGGGATCCCTTGGTGGGAATGTGTACAGGGACAGAGGCAGGAATTATAGCAGGGAGATCTCAGCATTGGAGTGTACAATATCTGGAGCTGACCCCGCCCTCTAGGCTCCACCCCACCCTCTAGGACTGACCCCGCCCTTTAGGCTCCACCCCGCCCTCTAGGACTGACCCCCCTCTAGGATCCACCTATCACTGACGTATAAGAAGTCTTGGACTGACCCCGCCCTCTAGGACTGACCCCGCCCACTAGGCTCCACCCCCTAGGACTGACCCCGCCCTCTAGGATCCACCAATCACTGACCTATAAGAAGTCTGAGACTGACCCCGCCCTCTAGGCTCCACCTATCACTGACGTATAAGAAGTCTGGGACTGACTGACCCCGCCCTCTAGGACTGACCCCCGCCCTCTAGGCTCCACCCCCTAGTCACTGACCCCGCCCTATAAGAACCAATCACTGACCTATAAGCCCTCTAGACTGACCCCGCCCTCTAGGCTCCACCTATCACTGACGTATAAGAAGTCTGGGACTGACCCCGCCCTCTAGGACTGACCCCGCCCTCTAGGCTCCACCTGTCACTGACCTATAAGAAGTCTGGGACTGACCCCCCTCTAAGACTGACCCCGCCCTAGGCTCCACCTGTCACTGACGTATAAGAAGTCTGGGACTGACCCCGCCCTCTAGGACCTGACCCTATAAGAAGT